AAAAAATGCAATTTTAATTTGATTGTAAAAGATTAATTAAAGCATACTTACTGATAATTTAAAAAAGAAAACTGAGCTTTCTAATAGTCAAAATCAGACTAGTTGAATTAATTAAAAGTTTAACCCAAATATGAAAGCCCAAAGTTGTTACCAAATTCCAAACTCTCAACTCAACAAGTCTATAAATACATATTTAAACCTCCTCAACACAAGTCTCAGACTCTCTACCAACCCACTTAGCCCACGCCTTCTCAGCCATTTGCCACCACCCTCACTCTTCACTTCACCACCCTCCTCTTTTGGCTCTTTTAACTCTTCACAGGGCAACTTCTCTCCCTTTCCCATCTCTCTGTGTCTCTACATGCTTTACCAAACCAAATGGGCAACCTCTGCGCCTGCCTCGCAACCCAACCCGTGAAGAAAAAACCGATAAAGCGCCTCCCCAACCCGCCACCGCAATCCAATACCAGCAACCGGTGGACCCGGATCCGATCCTCCAGAAAAGAGAAGCTCGACGACGCTTTGCTCCAAGAACAAGCTCTCGCCGCCGCGATTCTGTTCCAGCAGCACCAGCAGAACGGTTCTTTGCCCTTTGATCGCTCTGCTTCGCTGCGTTACCCGAATTCGAGCTCCAAGAAGAGCAGCAACGCCTTGCCCCGTAGCTCCAGCTCTCGGGCTCGGTCCCTCACCGACCCTCTCCTCCAGCCTCACCAGCTTGTTAACCAGGTTTGTGCTAATTGGTTTTGGCTAAATTTTGTTAATTTGGATTTAAAGGTTGGAACTTGGAGTGGTTGTGGAGTTAATTTGCTGTTTCCTCTTGTGGGTATTTTGCAATATAGCATTTGATTGTGGAAATTAATGAGATTTTGTGATTATGATGATTGAAAAAATTTCGATTTTTTCTTGTTTTGTTTTTGGAAAGGAAATAATGACTGAAAGGTCTAGACTTGGTTTTAGGGTGGATTTCCATTTTGTTCATACTAACTGGTTTCTTGGGTTAATTTTTTTCTTCATCCCGAGGCGGTAATATTGCTGTAAATATTTGTTGTTCTACTTTGTTTGTATCATCTCTTCTCTTCACACACGTGCACAAACTGACAAACACATGCATGTTTGTATCTGCATAGGTGTATGCCTCTATTTGTCTGGACGTATTTATGTTTAGGATATTGGACTTTTGTTTTAACTAAATTTCATATATTTGGAAATTTGTTTTATCTGTTTGGATGAAATTTTCATTTTAATGCATGCCGATGTTTATACATCATGTCGAGAACTGATGGACTGTCATGACTATGCATTTAAATAAAGACAAAAGTATCAAAGAGAATCCTGGTGATGTTTCCCATGTTGTTCTATGAAATTCCTTTGTTGTGATTGCTCATATATGCTCCATTTTTTCACTGACAATTGATAGACAGCCACAAGATATATAGATATAGAGGGAATTTGTAAAAGAAACAAAATTCCTATCTTTTTTCAATTGTTATCATTGAATCGTTGATGAATTCTTTTGGTCCCTAACAAGTTTGTGTTTAAATAGGATGTAAAGCTTGATGATCTGGAAACCAACCATTTTGTCCTTGTACATGGAGGTGGCTTTGGTGCTTGGTGTTGGTATAAAACCATAGCACTTCTGGAGGAGGTTGGTTTTAAAGTTACTGCCATAGACTTGACTGGCTCTGGAATTCATTCATCTGATGCAAACAGTGTCACAAGTCTTTCTCAATATGTGAAGCCTCTTAGAGATTTTCTTGAAAACCTTCCCGAGGGAAATAAGGTATATTCAATTGCTTTCCAATTATTTTGCTAATACCTAATCTTATTTGTGCTGCTGTTTTAGCTTGAATGGCATCTTATCAATAGTTCACTGCCAAATTTGACATAGATCTATTGCATTGTTGATCACAATAGTTTTGTTGTTGTCAAGTTTGTGACTTTGCACTCCTTTCAGACTTTATAACTGGCTAATTTTTTAATGCTATTCATATAAACAAAACTAAATTATCTTTGATTGCACTTCAAAAATATGATAATGCTGCACATCGATAAGATAAACCTGATGCACAGGTCAAATTATCTACTCATATGGAATGTACTATTTACTTTCGGAAACGTATTTTACTGAGCTTGTATATGGTGATAGTTACTTGATGAAATGTCAACAGATAATGTTCATGTAGCTGTTAGCTATTTTTTTTGTTTTGTTTGGCACATAGACTAATATAATTCTTGAGTATATAACTTCCTCTCTG